CCAGCCGCTCTCCGCCCTCTCCCCAGCGGCAGCGACTCCGGGGAGCGACCGGCAGCAAGAAAACACCTCGACGCCCCCGGGCATCTCTTCTCTTACCATGAAGCTCCTGACAGCAGCTTTGCTTCTGCTGTTCATCGCGATGTGCTTAGCTAGCGCGGAAGGTAAGTTCGTTTGTTCTACCTATTCCCATTTAAACCGCTTCCCAGCGGTTCTCCTGTCCGGTAATTTTTGTTTTGCCTCGGGATATAGCCGAGGAGGGCTTGGTGTCCCCCTGCGTGTGGGGAGGAGTGATGTATTGAATCTGGGGTGCAAGGTAGCAGCATGTTTTTTTAAAAAAAAAGGTAAAATACAAGTGACAAAGTTGTCCCTCTGTTGCTAGCCGAATAGCTTAAACACACGGTCTGACAGACCACGTTGAGGTCTCTGCTATACCTCTCAGAGTACACCTCAAACATCTCCTTTAAATTGGTGGTGGTTTTCATAGAAAATAAAGCAGAGTTTAATTTGATGTGTTTGCATGAATTTCACAGAATTTACCCGTGTGTAGTTTCTGCCATGCATAAAAATGATGGCTTAAAAAAAAAAAAAAAAGCAGCTTCTACACGGCTGAGAAGGCATTAGAGCATCCGTGAGAAGGAAAAAAATTAGAAATGTGACTTAAGTCCTACAAATTCTAAATGAGGAACAAGTGACATGAAAAAGTAACTAACAATTGCGTTTGCTTATTCAGCTTAAAGTGAGTTCTGACAGTTCATTTTGCTTTTGTTAAATATAATTACGTTTAATCACAGCAGGTGCGCTTTAAAAAGCTATCATAGTTGCTAAGCCTCAGAACATATGCAGTGCTCTAAAACGTCTTTCTCAGGGAGTTACTGCATTTCTCTGGGATAAAGCAAAGAAAGATATTACTTTTAAGCTCAACAGCATTAGAAAATCCATTTTTTTCTACTGAGGCTTACAAGATCAAACTGAACTTCATACACGTACATACGCTAGGAGGGAAGAGACGCTTGGTACGCGGGAGGCTTTGCAGAGCATGAGTAAGTGCTTTCTCTTTTAGGAGTAAAGTGCAAATGTACAAGAAAAGGTCCTAAAATAAGATTCTCTAATGTACGGAAGCTGGAAATAAAACCCCGGTACCCCTTCTGCGTGGAAGAGATGATTATGTAAGTTTTCCTGCATTTATCCTTTTTTGCTTTCCTATCAGCTCAGTTACATTACCTTACAGTGCAAGTTCCTTCTTTGTTCTTTGTTTTAATCACACCCTGGTATGCTAATTTCCTGCAATACTCAGTTGCTATATTAGATGTAATAAAAAGTATAACTCTGATCAAAAGCCTAGCTACCCTGCCTGCTCAGTCAAAGAAGTATTTACAGAACAGATAGTAATAAAATGCTAATCATTAGTTCAACTGAAGATAGGGACCAAACACTACTCCGAGCTGCCTGATATATAATCCAGAACAATTTACTCCAGTTATTTTGGATGTGCCAAACAAGAACAAGAGCAGGATTTGGTCCACGGTAGTTTCTGCAAGAAAGGGTTATCCTAACCAGAGTCACATTTTTGCCTACCCTGTGCCAAAGCAATCCCCTGGCTTTTCATGGGATTACCTAGCGCGTAAAAAAACTTTCCTCCTAGCCTCGCTGCAAAGCCGTGACTAACGTTGCGCTGAAACCTCAAAGAGATGCAGCCATGAGCTGAAATGAAGCAGGCATGGGGATTTTGACATCTCTGGTGATTGGTTCAAGAGAAGCGCTTTTTTCTCCTCATCTCAAACATGGGTGATCTGTGATTTTTTTTCTGGGCCATTTTGGATACCTTAAGATTGCACGTAAACCACCAGCCAGCCCACGGCACTGAATAACACCCAGATCAGCAGAGAAGACCTGCACCCAACTCTGTCCTCTAAGAGGGGAAAAACAGATCCCAAGAGAGGCCGCACTCTCGGCTGCCTGGCACAAACACGGAGTCACCGATCCTGCCCGCTCGGAGATGAACGGCCAGACTTGGCAGACGGAGGAGGGGCAGAGGGTGCTGGCCTCTCTCGAGACCCTCCTGGTTTACACCAGCATAACTGAGAGCCGTATTTAGCCCGGGGAACGTCGCACCCGTCTCTTTGCAGCCAGAATCGGCCAGCAGCGATCCGACCAGATAATCTGCATTCAGAGCATCCCCGCCTGAATCAGTCCCGTGAATCAGCCTGCTGCAGTTTTACTTTGTTTGCTTTGACCTTTAAATAGCACAAGTATGGTACAGAGGGGCACCAACTCTTCTGATCCCACACCAGCCATTTGGGCGCAAACGCATCAAGCAAACATTTTAAATAAACAGCACTGACCTCTTGCAGGGGATTGAATCACCAACATTTTGCCCTCTGCCAGGGAAGGGGGCCCAGGCAACACAGCACTAATATCTATATCTGCATCCCACCCCCCTAGAAAGGGCACCCTAATGCTCACGCAGCGGGTGCAGCCGAACGGCTTTTCCTGTTTCATGCCACTCATCTGGCCTTAACAAAAGCAGCGGAAGCACTGCAGCAGCATAAAAGCAATTGAAGAATTTGCTGCTCGAGATTTCCCTCTGTGCCTGGAAGGCTGGATTGTTGTCTAGGAAGCAAGAGGGAGCGTGTTTCCCCCAGAGCAGGATGCCAGCAGAGACTGGGTGGCAAAGCGTTGTCAGGAGAACAATAACGGGGCTTTTCTAGGCTAGGTCTAGGAGAGACATCTGCTCAAAAAAAGCAAGGAGGAGGGGAATGCATGGGTATAAAATACATCTCATTAATGCAACTTTTCACTTTTAATCAGAACGTCAGGAAAGCACACACACCGCTTCAGCCCGCACTGAAACGCCTTGTGAGAGCGGGTTGCTTTTCCGACTGGACTTGCTGCACAGCTATGCAAATTTCGAGTAATGCTGTTCAGGAGAAGGGAGTTGCTCTGGGTTTGCACCCGGCTCCTGGGACAGAGTTGTCCCACAGCTTTCACGTTGCCAGGAAGGATTACTCCTGCTTACACCCACGGGGAACAGTAGCTGGGGAAGACTCATGCACTGGCATCAGTCATGAGCCTTTCCAGGCTATCATAATGCAGTCTGAAGTCAGTATTGAAAACAACTTTAAATTAACATTCAGAGAACCGATTGATGCCAGAGTCTCGGACAAGGCACAGAAGAGCTAAATTCCTGCAACTGAGTTTTTGTTGCTGTGGTGATCATCTAAAATGAGTTCAAGAAGCTCATTCCCCTCCTACTCTCCTCAAGAGCTCTCATATCTTTTCATACGGGAGAAATATGATATAAGTGATGTCTGGCAGGGAAGAAGCAGGTACGTAGGTGCAATTTAGGAAGGAATTCATCCTAGGACATAACCCCCCTAGGAAGAACTGCTGTCCTGGGTGAAAGACAGCTAAATCTCAAGTCTTTGGCCTAGTCAAAACCTTTCAAGACTCATGGTCTGCTCCATCAGGCAGTAGTCACTTCCCTCCAGTGAGGGAAAGAAGCAGAAAATAGAAGGGAGGTTTAATTGTTTCTGCCTGAAAGGATTCAAACCCACCCACTTCCCTGCATATGGCCCTGGCCCCAAGAAGAGGGAGCTGTCAGGGGCCACAGCAGCTGAGGCAGAGATGGGACACAGGAATCCTGCAGGAGGGAGCACAGCAGAGATGAGAGCGCTGGGGCTTCAGCCCCTTCTGCGTCCCCAGATACCTCCTTGTAACTCATCCAGACAACTCCTTGCTTGGGATATCAGCTCCCACAGCAACTGCTCTTAAGCACAGAATGGTTTGTCTGCCTAACAAGAGGACAGGGTGCCCGTGGCATGAGGCAGCATCCCCAAAAGCCAAGACAGAGTAGCTCAGGGCGCCCAATAAAACTACAGCCCCCACCCGTGGGCTGCTGCCCCAGAAACCGCGGGCAGATGGACCCCACACACTGCTCTGGATGCCTGTCCTGCTGTCCGGCCTCCCACTGGTGTCATCCCGTGACACTGTGCAACATCCCAGCAGAAAAGCAGCACATGGAAATTCCTGTGTGTTGAAGGGAGCAGATGCCCCCAGGTCTCTGGAAATCTAAAAAATAGCTTCACTGTCATTAATAGAGTTCTTCACCCAGGCGCCAGAAAAGTAATACAGCACCAAAGCACAAAAGCTATGCCTGGCTTCAAAGCAGGGCATCTCATCCCTAAGAAAGCCCTGCTGGTCACTTGAGAAGCACGCCATGCATCTCCTCCTGGTTAGATAAATCCAGAATTGTCCTTATTCACTTCTGGTGCAAAGTTAGGGTTTGCTGCTTTGTAGGAGTGTTCCTGCTCCTCCCTGTGATTTAGCTTGTCCATCACTTTCTGGAAACACCCTCTACGCTCTGTCAGAGGAGAAACCCAAGCAAGGCTCTGGTATCAGAGAGTGCCCGCAAGCATGAATAGCTGCGGCCGAGAAGACAGCTGAGGGAACTCTGCACTGAAAACTTGCATGCCTTGTGCCTCCAGCAGAGGCTTGGTTTTGCTCCTGCTGAAAGCTAAAGGAAAACTTCTGTTCTCATGTACACACTGATCCGCAGAGGAGCTGGCTGAGAACACCTTTAAAGCAGAGGTGGTCTGCAGGTTTGAACAGTGACCATCCCTTCCCGATACCTGCAGCTATATAGACTCCTGGAAGTCTTACACAGCTTTCTCAGGCTTTGGGGAAAGGGCCACAGCCCACCCAAAAATAATGCAGAAAGTAATGCCTCATCTTTTGGTGATGTTAATTTACATCTGTTTGAGATGGAGTGGAGAAGCAGAGCAGGGAAGAAGGTTAACTGAATGGAAAGACCCCACTGTACAACACTAAAAAATCCACAGCAAGCTTGGCTAAGGGTCTTACACTAGCTCCTTAGAGCATTTCACCTCCAAGGAAAGAGCAAGGCAGCCCCCCCCGCCCCCGGGGTGAGTAGTGTGAGCTGAAAAGGTTTGCAGGGCGCTTTTTGTATTAGAGGTAAACAGCACCAAACCACAGAAGGAACCCCGTCGGTAGGATCAGATATTTCTGGGGTTTGCTATCATTTTACTGATGTTTCTAGCAGTATTTTAAAAATTCCACTGTAATATTCTAAACTGAAACCTGTTTCCGTGTTATGGATAGTATTTCTGGAAAATGCACGATTTCAATAAAAAAATGGGAGGGTTAATCACAAAATAATGAAAGTGGAAAACCTGTTGATTTTGAGCCCTGAGAAGTGATAGCAATTTTGACTTTTCTGGAAAGCCTTTCTCTTAGGGAGCAGTGCTAGATCTCTCCTAGCCTCTGCTGCAAGAGATCAACCAGTGCTTAACAGTGACAGTGTCACTACGCACACCGGGAGGAAGCCTATGTGGATGGGCAGACCTCTGCCATGTTTTGCCTTCCAGCACATCCAATGAGGAGGGACACCAAGCCTACGGCTGCTGGCAAGAAAAGCAGGATCAAACTGATCTGAGGAAGTTAGAGGCTCCAGAGCTGCCTATCCTGATGTGCACAGAGCTAGCCCTTTAGGCGATCGACAAGCTTGCCATATGCAAGCGTTTAAAACATTCAAATCACCAAAAAAAAAAATGCAGGTATAATCATTTCTCTCAGATGCAGCACTGTTGAGTCTAAGGAAACCATCTCCTTGTGCAAAGACTCTGTAGCTGCCTGAATGAACCCTAATTAAATCAGCTAGTAAACTCAAAAGAAAATATCTAACAGACAGCAGAGCAAACCCATGGATTAAAAATAATGGGTAGGTCTTCATCTGGTATAACTTAGTGCAGCACTATATTGTCCACAGAGCTGTACTGATTGATAACAGCTGAAGATCTGCTCCAACATTATTACAGCAAACGCAGACATCCTCCATAAAACGCAGCATGAAAGTCCTTCCATTGCTGCCTGGGTGAAAGTCTCGTGTCTGGTTTTGGAGTTACCTGGAGTCACAGCAAGGCAGATGCCTTGTTTTTTAAGAACTAAAACCACTGACCGACAAAGGTGGGTTCCTTCCCGCGGCAGCTCCCGTAACCAGCGCTCTCTCTCCGTTGCAGCGTAACTTTGTGGACGCGGGTCCGAGGCGAGCAGCAGCACTGCTTGAACCCCAAACGCCAGAACACAGTGCGGCTGCTCAAGTGGTACAGAGTATGGAAAGAGAAAGGCAGGTAAGGAGCCATTGACGTGGGGGGACATCACTCGCTTTCTGCGGACGGAAAGCAAAGCCGGGTCTATCCTTGCCGTGAACGGCGCTTCCTGCGGGACAGCTCAGTCGACAGGGCTGCTGCCGTAACTATGCTGGAGGAAACGCCAGACTGAAAGAGCCAACATCCCCCAACACCAATTAGTGTATCTGTCTGGGGGTCTGTTTTAAACGATCTCAGCACGAGGGGGAAAAAGCCTTGATGGCAAGCTAGACAGCTAACGGTGTTCAGACTTAGAGACACCCTATTTCACATACTGCAAATGCGCTATTCAGCGCAGAGGACTTATTTCTCTCCTAAATTGCAATTATAAATGGATGTTCTCGATGCAGTTTTTCCTTGCATATGCAGAGCTCAAGATTAGGCTGTTATGTTTATAAATAGTAATTATTTTCTGTTAAGACTGTTTGTCAGCTGATGTTCTCAGTTACTTACATGTGCTCACCTCCCTTTTATGGTTAAAAAGACAGGATGAAAAGCTAAACTACTTCCACAGTCACAGGTAAAGTAGTCAGAGCTGGGAAGAGACTGCCCACTTCACATGGCATGTTTTAATCATAACATCTCAAAACCTTCAATTTCAGGTGACCCAGATCTTTGCCAGTTTTAACCATCATATCATTCCCAGGATAACAGCAACTTGCTGGTAAGATGCGCTGCCATCTTCTCCCTTGCGAGGAGGGTTTTGTTTAAAACAAACAACAAATAAGCAAGGCATCAATCACAACTGGAAGAGAAACGTGAATTCCTGATGGTTGGTGCCTGGTGACATTGTCTCCATCTATAATTAAGGGGAGCTGCTCAACTCCCACTGCCTGCTAGGGAGAGCCAGGTGCTGCTTCTGAACCTTTAAAGTCCCTTGAACATTGGGGTAAATCTTTCAGTGAATCTCAGGGGAAATACCTCATGGAGAAACTGAGCCAGGGAGGTAGGAACAATCTAGCTTCCTTCAATCCACAGCTGGGCAATTGAAGATTCAGGAAGAAAGAAGGGTATTTTCCTCAAAGCATAAACATGCCCTGGGAGATGCTATCAGAGGTTGTCCCCAGCACCAGGTCCAGGGCCATGGCCCAGGCTCAGGTGCCTGGAGCACAGCCTCATCAGCCCACTGGGAAGCACCTGGGGCTGCGAGAAGCTCTCCGGACCCCTCTGTGGTGGAGGCCACCTGCACAAGACCCAGCGCTAGCCAACATCCAGCGAGGAGCCTCCACACGAAGCACGATTCAGCCTGATCCTTCTGACGCCAAGGCAAGTTTCCTCCTGGACGTGGAGGAAAGCGTCGCTGAGCCAGAAGGACGGCAGCGAGCGTTGATGTGGTCACTCAGCCCGCGGCGTCAGGCGGAGGGGACACCGGCAGCGCACCAGCGGCCAAGCTGCCGGCCGCCCCTCCGAGGGCTCAGCTGACGCTCTGCCAGCTCGGGATGAGCCGCTTACGGCTGGCCCCCTAACTGGCACGTGCTGGGGAACAACAGCTCTCGCCTGACACCGTAGCAACATCCTTTTTCTCTCTTTTTAAAGGCTACCGTTAAAATAACAAAGAAAGCTCAGCCACAGAACTGGGCATCTGAGAAGCATCCGGTGTCCCCCCAAGCTTATAGGGGGGAGACACACGCTAGATCCAACATGAAGGTCTGGCCACCATGCAGACTAGCTCCTGTGGGCACCTAACCGTGCTGCTCACTGGCACCAAGCAAGAGCCAGCACAAGGGCCCTCTGCCATCCTGCGGAGGGCCAGGGGCCATCTCCACTGCAGAGGTGACCGGGGGAAAGGAGAAGCAGAGAAGGGACGGAGAACCCAGCCCAGCGGCCCCGTGGCCTCGGCTGCCAGCCTGGAGCATACAAACCCGAGGCAGCGCAACCCTCAGCACTTTACCTGGTTGCCCAGCCCTAGGCCTCTCTTGCATTTCCTTGCTGCAGTTTTGCAGTTTCCCTGCTATTTCCCTATATTTGCAATATTCATGACTGCATTTCATATAGCAGTTGCCTTAATAAAGAAAGAGGCACGTAGTTAGCACCCTGCTCCAGGGGAATCCCTTCCAGCTTCAGAGCTGCAGAAAGCATTGTGTCATGTGCGAGGGAGGCATCTCTAAGGGCCAGGAGACCCAAAGAGGGTTGCTGCTCACCTCCTGACCTCTTCTGTCCATCTGTCACATCCCTTTGCGGCGAGGGGCAGCCAGGGAAACGGCTACCTGCAAGGCTTGTTGTGATCAAACAGCAGCAAGTGACTATTTCAGACAAAGAACCTGGTTTAAAACAAGTCCTCCCCCCAAAAAACAAACCACCTGTGAGTGCCTTCAGTGCTAGCTGCGCCAAACCCGCTGAATTGGTCCCCAGGAAAAGCCAAGGACTTTTCAAGTCAAACGCAGCACAAACATGAGTCTCTTCCCCAAAATAGCATTGCCCCTCATGTTCCCCATGCTGGGGAAGACTTCTTGCACCAGAAGAGTCTGTACAACCAGGATTTTTCAGCAGTTTTTTGGAAAATAGGACTGTCAGGTTGTCTTCTCAGGATGCAAACTAGATTAATATTATTCAAAACATGCCATGTGAATTAGAATATATTATATATTCTAATTCAAGTGTGATGTGCAGCTCACGTCCTTTAACATTTGAATACGAGACAGGGATTTTGCGGTGGGTAAAGTGTATTATTGGGTGCGGATTTCCTGATCCGCCCTGCCCCAGTAATCCTGAGCGTGGTCGAGCCTGTTACTCCCAGCAGACCCAGAGGAACCGGGTGGCGAGCTCAGAGCCCCCGCTCGGATCTGCGTCGCGGATAGGAACCTGGCAACGCTGCTGAAGGCGGTAACTTACTTCCCAATTTACTTGAGTAAAGGTTAAAAATTTAGCTTTTAGTTTTTAAATCATCTGGAAGGGGGCTGTTTCGCTCCTTGTTGAAAGAGGTTAAACGGCTTGCCGTTGGCTTTCCTTCTTTCCAGGGTTTACGAGGAGTAGAAGGAAACAGCGCAAGGAACGGACCAGACTCTCCTGGCTGACGTAGGACCGGACTCTGCAGAAGATTATTTCTCTCACAGACATAAGACACAAATTCTATATTATTATAAAGCACTTTTTACCAAGGGTCAGTTTTTACATTTTATAGCCGTGTGCAAAAGGCTTCCAGATTTCATAAGCATCTCTTGCACTTCAGATTTCATACCCGTCTGCTTTGTACTGAGACTGGGAAAAACCTCATGCTTTTCATTTTAAAGAGGTCTTTTTTTTTATTGTTATTCATTCATACTTCACTATGATCGCAATCGAGCTTTATAAGCTCATTAGACAAATATTGCTGTTTGTAAAGGTGTTACACGGTTGTGTCCCTCACCCTTCCACGCTGGGAGAGCTTCGGTGCTGTGGTTGTTTGTCGTGTTTGCAGCCTCCGCCACAGCAAGACAAACCGGGGACCGAAGACAGGTTTGCTGGGTAAAATGCCACTGAAACGCAGTGGGCTGTAGCTGCAGAAGTGAGGTCCCTTAGCATATTGTCAAACGAATACAGACATCACTTCTTTAACGACCTGAGGTCTTGCTGCAAGGTGAAATGCACCACATAATCCCATTGAACACTGCGTACGCTAGAAAGCATTTCTAGGTCATTTTTATTACTAAGAAAATGTTTGTTCTTTTTTCCTCCACTTGAAGTTCATACGGAAAGTTTGCAGCTGCAGTACTGAGACGTTTTAAGCTTCAAGACTATTGTGTATTATTTCCTAGATTTGTAGCAAAAAAACCTTTACAAGGTACCTTTTTATGAAAAATATGATAGGGTAAACAAATATCTATGTGTTTTAGCCACAATACAATATATTCATTATTTTGAATGTAATACTTCAATGTTAAGCGGTGCATTCCTCTTTTTAAGATAAAATAACAAAACTACCTTTTCATTTGTAAATATACTATAGGAAATCTCCCTATATTACCTTTCTGTATAATGTACTGTACTGCTAAATTATCATATGCTATTTAAATGTTTGAAATATTTAGGAGGTTGCATGCAGATTTCATATTTCTTTCTAAGACAAACAAAAAAAGTAATAAAAATCTATTTAAAAAAGGCCGACAGGCACTCCTAAGTTTTCTTAAGCCATCACAAAACTCCAGCCGTTCCTGATGAGTTTTTTTGGTAGCTGAATTAGTTTCAGGAAAACACTGCATCACAGAAGCTGATTTAGAGACATGGCAACTTGCTCCCACTGGAATTAGAAAGTGTTATTCTGGTTCTGTTTAACTCTCTCATTTTAGGATTTGGACTGTACCCAAATACCGAGGAATCTTATTACATAAACAGCAACTATGCCACATGCATATAGCTACTAGTCTAGTATTATGTCAAATAAATATAGTTCAAGTGCCCCACATCCATATATAAAAGGTAAATAAAAACGCAGTGATTTATAAGTGATCGCAGTTAAATTAGGCAAGGCCGTTCAATGGAAGTCACATAACAAAAACATCCAAGTCTCACCCACCTCTCTCACTGCGGTTTCTGCCCCTGCCCAAAGGACGGGCTTTGCACCCAGCAAAACATCCACGCAGTTCCTAAAACACCCCCACGGCTTCCCCCAGCGTTACTGCACTAAAGCCATGCACAGCCAGTCAAAATACCTCACACCCTGCTCAGCTGAAAGAAAAGTGACAGATATGAACTGTAAAACCAGCAAGAGTTTTAAATATGTTAAAGCCACCTGGTATCCTCCAAGCAGCATCCCTCTCCTTTCCCTCTTGCAGCAGCCTGGTGCAACGCTGGGAGCAGAGATCAGCCCAGCTCTCCCAATAGGAATCTATAGGATATAAATCAAGGCAACACCTGATCTCAGTTGAAGGTGTTTCCCCAGTTCAGGTGGTTTCCTGGTGCTGAGTTCAGCACAGAAAGGGGCACGCTCATGTTGCGATATACAATGGATATGCCGGTCATCATGTTTTTCACGTGCCCAAGTATTGGGGGAGAAAGTCATTTCCTTCCACAGATCTACTTTTTGGCATGTACCTACTCCCAGGAGTGCTGGGATATCAGATATCAGCTCTTGAAGGAGATGCTTTCTACTCAGTAACAATGAAAATAAGTTTCTGAAGAGATCTGCTTATTTACTAAGCTAATGCTCCAGCAGAGCTGAAGGAAAAACAGCTATGAGATTTCAAAATATTTTCCCATTCTGCATAAGTATGGTGCTAAGAACTTTGGATTCACTTCAATAAAAAGCTTGAGAAAGATCCCAGAACATTTAAGTTAAACCTCAGGGGATCTCAACTCCAAACCATTGCTTTGAACTGGGCACGTGAACCACAGACAAACCGAGACCGGTGGGCTATCCGAGCTGCCCCTCTCACTAACATTTACTTAGTTTTACCAAGTGCAACAGTTCTGAGCAAATGATATTGAAAAAAATATACCCCAATAAAAGTAATATACGTTAGGGCATTCTCACTTTGGAGCCCAGCACAAATTCCTAGGTTCACCTAGGGCAAAGCTGAGCAAGGTTTCCCCATTTCAGCCAAGCACTACACCTGGACCAGTGACTCCATCAGCATGTTGCATTCATCCCTCTCACTGCACACAGAGGGATGCAGTGGAGTCATTTCTTGACTCATACTTTAACAGTCTTTTTCACTGAGAAGACTTGATTTCAACATACCGACTGGCTTTAAGAAAGTTTATTTACTTAACTACTAGTAGGCAATGTATTTCCTGGAAAAGTGTTGATACAATTGCACAAGATGTGGTTAACACTTCATCGGGAATACTGCGTATAATTGTAGTTGCCCAAATTCAATACAGTGATTCACGCTTTAGCAGGATATAGTCCATACAAATGGCTTAGCTTTGGGTTTGGCTGCCAGACCCAAATAACCAGCTAAAGTTGGCACAGAAGAAACCAAAAATACTTTTTCCCCTTGTTGGAATGGGAGTTCAAAGAAGAAAAAAATCATTGTTCAATGCGTGCATTCCAGTTAACCTGAATCTTTCCTCAGAACAGAATCACTGCTGGAAATATGGATTTAAATCACAAAGAGGGAAAAAGTGACTGCAAGCTTGTTTTTGCAAGCCTCTTAAACCACAGCTCCAGGCAGGTTTGTTAACTTCCCAGAAACAGGAGGAGCATCCGTTACCCTTTGTGATACTGCAGTTGTCATAGGGAATAGTGTGTCAGAAGACACTTGTTACACATTAGAAACATCAACCGCTTTCCTTCAAACCAAAATATACTTTGCTAAGACATTTTAAATATACAGACATACAGATAGATGGATATAGACAACTCCCCCACCTCGATTTGGCAACAACCTGAAGGTTGATGTTTGCTTTTCCCAACAAATTTGCAGGTTGCAAGGCCACGCAAGACTGTGCGGCCTCACCTCCCATAAATACAGACCATAAAATTCTTACTTTGGGATCGAAAACCTAAGCCGCTGAGGCGTGCTCCGAACACACGCAAGCTGGCCCACGCTGCTCCCCAACCACCAGCAGGCCGAGCGCTCACCCGCTCAGCCAGCCCTGGGAGCACCTCGGCCCCGCTGCTCGCACCCATCGGCCGGGGACCACTGGGTTCATCCCAGGGGAATTCACAGGAAGCAACGTGAACACAGCGCTTGGGAGCAATGGCTCGGCCGGAGCACAGCAGAGTGCAGAAGCCACCTCTGCTCCAAGCAAACTGCCCCAAGACCTTGCCCTCCCCGCTCAGGGCAAACCACAGACAAACCAGGCTTTAAAGCATGTCTGGCTTTTTCATTTTAGCCACAGCCAAGCTGGTCCCTGGTGCCTTTACTCAAGCACCTACACTATATAATCAGGATGCAAACCCTTCAGCAAAGCTTCCAGGGAGCCCAGGCAGCAACCGCTTTCCCCACACCCAACATGCAAAGCTGAGCTCCAGAGCGCTAAAGCCAGGAGCACCCAACAACGGGGCAAACTGGCCAGACGAGCCCTGCAAACAACGCTCACAAAGCTCGCCTGCCTCTCTCTACCCTCCCTTCCGGCATCGCGTGTCGCCGGCTGCATTCAGTAATTACGCTATCAGGTTGTATTTTAATAAGAGCATGAGGGTAAATCAAGCAGCTGCAGTGAAAGGACACAACAATAGCGGGGAAACCTGCCTTGCCTTTTCAGTGCGAGCGTACATGGGATTAGTAATGTTATACAGATGCTTTCACCACTTGCCTTTCACTTGCTCATATATGGTCTAGGTCAGCAATGGCTAAAAGTTTATTAACAAGCGATAGCTGTTTGGGGGTCTGCGTTAGGCGGCTTGGTGCTCTCGCTCCCTCTCCAGACCTGCACCTCCAGGTGTCTGCCGTGCCCTGGCTCCCCCAGAGCTCTTTAAATCAAGCCACGAGGCCCTGCTGGTGAGCTAGGCGAAGGAAGAGATTTTCTGGCCACGTTCAGACTGTGTGAAAACTCACTGCACTAACTGAAGTCGCACAGGGCTGTCGGAGCAAACGTGGGACCAGTGTTAAAGTAATCAGAGTGACCTTTGGGGGTTTCTTCTCACTGATCATTCCCGAGTCCTGCTCAGGAAGTTGAGGACAATACTACAAGACAAACGCCCACTGAACTAATAAAACAATGTCAGAATTGGCCTCATTTGGACCCACCATTGTAGAAAACTGGAGCAAACACCACCGACCTCAGAAAGCCCTATCCAGCTGAGCACCCCACTCAAAGGCAGACCGAGCTGTGCCTGTTCAACAGGTAGGAGCCTTCCATGCAATCTAACTGCTCTTAACTGGCTTTTATTTAAGCTCAGGCAGAGCTTGCATTCTCCAAAACATACTTCCCGTTAAACGGCAGTCGCTTTCTCCAAAGCCAGCTTCCAAAAAGCAGCACCTTTAAATTCAGATGTGTGCAGAATCAGACTTCACTGAGTGCAGCACCTTTGGGGGGGGGGGGCGGGGATAAAAACCAA